AAAAAAAAAATTATCGGAAATACATACGCATAATTTTAATTAACAAACATGTTTACTCAAATTGCTCAAAATTGGATTTATAGACGAACAAACAACGGTATTCCTTTCAACGATTTTAATTATTTTGTTGTAATTCAAAAAATAATAATTCCAACGTCTTGAATTAATATTTTCTGTACACAAGGCAATTTTCTAAATATTTTGACTTATTTTAAAATATTTATACCACAATCCTATTCACGCAGTTCTAGGATGTATTGGCGTTTACTTAAAAACTCATACGTTTATGTTGATAAAAAATCATATATGATATAAAATTATAATATATGATGTTTTTTAAAACAAATAACTAAAGGGGATTCGAAACTGTTATTTTCTGTTTTTGTTTAATGTACTATTACGACATAGAATTTTAGATGTACCTACTCTTTATCAAACGTATCAGTTGATCTAATGAAACGATAATAATTCTAAAAACCAATTTGAATTTTTCGTCACGATTGACCTCCCCGCATTTTTTATATTATCTCTTAAATTCCTTAAAGCTTATACTAAAAAGTAAAAAGTCATTGAAAAAGTTTAGCAAATAATATAGGCTAAAATCCTATGTCRCACATGTGTTAGACAAAGACAGAAAATCATGATATCGAATCCCCTTATCCCACCTACAGTGGATTGATTTTCCCAATTTTTTTTTAATACCTATAAAAATATTTGAACCCAACAAATGTAGGTACCTACTGCTTTGTTAAAATGAAACTGAGTATCATAAACTACAAATACAATTTGGTTAAATCAAGATTTTAATCAAATTATAATTACAGATATAAATATAACCAGTCTAGGACCTATAAGGAATACACTATATACATATGTCATAAATATAATACCTGTTTTTCACCATATTGTTCAGCTACTTCAGCTTTATTAAATCCTGTTAAAGCTCCGTAATGTCTTTCATTTAACCGCCATGATTCCTCTACTGGTAGATTTGGCTGACCAATGTGTTCAGTGATTATCTTTAAAGTCTGATGAGCTCTAGTCAACAAAGATGTATAAGCTTTGTCGAATTTATAATTTGATTGTTTCAACAGTTCTGCGCATTCAAGAGCTTCGTTCATACCTAACATGCCAAAWAATAATAATAAATTATTCGTTTTAGATTATATAAAGTATAGAAATTAATGCAAAAATAAAGTTAGAATAGTAACTATAAACAAACGTATAATGTAAGAAACGATAAAATACGCTAAATAGATAAAATAATTAATAATATTAAAGTTAATAATTAATTATACTTATTTTATTGTACATATGTACCTACATACTATAAATATCAGATAGATAGTAAAAATAATTTAAAAAAAACATTTTTGAGCTTTGGCAATTATTTAAATTAAATAAATATGTTATGTATGTATAAAATAATTATAATATTAATCTTTTATAACTATCTTAAAGTTACAATTATAAATGAATATGATTAAAACCATAATTTCTACCTATACGAGTAAGCATTTAATATGAATTACCTCGATCAGACAAATGTGAATCGTACCATCCGCAAAACACATTGTTTTTAGACCATTCACTCTCGCCATGTCTGGCCATTACCACAATTCGTCTTCCCGTCATTTCTGAAATATTAAAAAAAAWTGATGCTTTATTAATCAGATTAGCCAAAAAAAAAATTGTATTTGTATACAACGATATATTTCGACATTTAACAACAAATGTATGTACAGCAATGATACAAGATCTAACACAGCTTTTATTTAATTCAAGTGACCTTCTTATAGGCAAGCAGAGATAATGATAATTTTTATTATATGACACCGCGAATACATCAGTGAATGTATTTATTTTTAAAAACAACTATTTTATTACACCAGGTAAGATAAACAAGAGATTCTACATTTAACTTTCAGATATGTATTAGATTATCATTATATCAATAATATTATTATTTAATAGTCAGGTATAGTACGAAATTAAAATTATGATAAATATTATTTAATAGTCTGGTATAGTACGAAATTAAAATTATGATAAATATACTATTTTTAACTAAATGTACTAATTCAACTAGTAATATTACAACATTTTAAATTGTTAAATCTTACATATTTTCAACACCAAAATAAATAAAAATGAATCACTTTTTATACCAAAGTAAATACATAAAATAGATAATAATATAAAATATAATATGTAATTTATAATTTAAAAAAAAACTATATTCTAATCAAGATTTCAAATCGAAATAATTTATTTTAGTTTTTTGATTTTCCTTCTAATATTTTCGATTCAAAAAACCCGTTTAATTTTGTTGTTTTATTTTCCGGTTAGCTAATATCATTTTTAAAATATAAATACCAACTGTTACCTATTTTAAAAATGAAGTTTAATAAAATTAATTTTTAAGTATTATACTTTGGAAGTGTTAACACTGGACGCTCCCTCTTCGTCAGACGTTTTCACGTCTTTTACTTATGTCATAACATTTACTTTTTGTACTATCTTGTATATTATATATAGATTTCTTTTAAAATTAGAAAAAATAATATWATATTATTATATTACAACTATCTTAAAAATATATAAGACAAAAAACACAATATATTGTATATTTCTACTTATATTAAGTGCTTCACAAACATAAGATTTTGAAATAAATAAGTAGGTATACCTCACACATCATAAATAGTCAGTTATAAATATATTATAAAAACAAACTACCATCTAGAAACATAACAACTCAATTTCAAGTTGTTAACACTTAATTGAAAAATAGGCAAGCCATAAATAACTAAATAAAATTACCCTATAAATTACCCTTTTTAATCATTGATTATTAGAAAAAATATATATAAAATATTATTAAGAGTGAGACTTGAAAATTTGTAAAAAAAATATTTTTTTAAATTAAACTCTAGTTAAGTAACT